TTTTTTGTTATGATTGGGTTCGAATTTCCGCATCATCTTTCTTTTAAGAGGTTTGATAAATTTCTAACCTCGATGGGTAGTATTTATGAAGACCTCATAAAAATCTTTTACACAAATTTAAAATTGATTGACTCGGATGAACTAGTAATTGAGTTGTTACAGATGTAGATCAGATAAAACCTTATGATAAGCTAAATCTAGCCCATTTAAAATATTTTGAATTTATCTTACCTGAAGACCTAAGATATGATAGAGATAAGACATTGACTGCAATGGTTAAATCAGAACTACAAGTACAAACTTATGAGAATGTCGGTAGTTTGACCATGGAGGACAAACTTTTACATTATGTGTTCGCTCATATTCTTAATCCTCAAGGAGACAATTATACTCAAGTGTTACAAGATGATATATTTATGTATGGTGCATAAAGAATCATATTCTGGTTAATTTGCCTCATTATATCATCAAACATATGGGAAAATATAAGACTAATCATATGTTTCTGTCTTATGGTCTTCTAATCACTTGTATTCTATTGCATTGTAGCTTGGACTTGACTTTACAATCAAGTCACTCTCTCGAGTGGACAAATAGATTTAACGAAAGATCTTTGAAAAAGTTGAATGTCGTAAATATTGATGGGGGCATGACAACATGACAAGGGTCACCATGTCCAGTAACAATCTAACCTTGAGTAAGATCACACTTCTAGAGAAGATGAAGATGTGAGGGTTGAACAAGAACAAGCACGAGCACCCGCTCAAGGAGAATACATATATCTTTCCTAGCAAACTGATAGCATAAATTTAATATGGGGAGGTATTCAGGATATGCAAAGACGCATAAGTAGACTTGAAGTTAATGTTGAGAATAATTATCAGAATCTTCAAATATGGATTAATTATGTGCACCACAGGATTGATCCGGTTGACGACTCAATTGATTATATTGATGGAAGTCTTGAGTAAACATCTCATTCATGTTATTTCTATTTCTCTATTTATCTTTTTATTTAAATTGTTATTAGATTACTATAATTTATTTTTCTTCAATTTTTATTTTGGATGACTATAATTTTATTTAGATAATTTCATTTGTTTGACTATGGTAATTTTATTAATTATCAATGTAATTTTTTATTTAAGTTTCACTTTTGATGACTTTAAATTTTTTTTATGACTGCACATTTTATATACACATTTTACTTTATTTTTTTAAAATTTAATATTGTATTTTATATGAAATCAAATTTTAACAATTTTAATAAAAATTATAAATTATTATTAAGATAATAAACCAATACATTTTAAGTATTTTACAAATATCACAAATTATTTTTATACTTTATATATAAAATAATTTTAATATATATGTCACCATTTCTATGTATAATATAAATTAATTAATTTAAAATAAATTATATCCCAATTCTAATTTATATTTCTTCTATCTCATATCAATGCAAGATTATTTTGGTCATTACTTACTTTAAATTATTATTTCAATTCTTTTATTCAATCACATTTTCTCTAATCTTTCAACTTATTTCTTTTCACTTTCTACTTTATTTTCTCTATTTTCTCGATCCAAACAACTTCACTTTTTCTTATCTATCTCTTATTTTTCACTCCCTTAAATTCACTTCTGAATCCAAACAAAAACTTAGTTTCTAAGATGGTTAACCAACTTCGACTTGGTAATTCCATTTATGTCTTAGGCATAACTAACAAAATATCAATTTTTTTTAGAGTATAAATTTATTGTATTATATTATTATTTTTAAGTAATTTATTAATTTTATTTTAATATTTTTAATACAAAATTTTAAATAATTATTTTATTTATTTTTATAAAATATTTCATAAAATAACTATTAAAAAATTAAAATAATTTATCATATCAAATAAAATATAATAAATAATTACTGACAACTAATGTCTTGTTTAATCATCAAATCTCATCCAATAACTTCTATAAAAAAAATTGTTGTAATAAGTCCCTAATAAAATATATAAAAAAAAATGGTATGTGTACTATCTCGAATCAGTTTTGAAAACAAAAAGGTTTATTTTTGTCGGACAGTTATTGCAACCTCAGAAGAGTAATTGTAAAAATTATATATCTTCAAAGTTAAGATAATATAACTAAGGATTTTTATTTTATTTTATTTTTAAAAATCAATTTAAAAAAAAAACAATTTTTTGTAAATATATTAAAAAACCTTATTTAATAATTTTATTTTAAAAAAATATTTTAGAAAAATATAATGTCTTTTATAATATAAAAATGATTTTGCTAAATTTATAATGATAAAATAAATAATTTATTATGATTGGTGAAAATATTGATGGATAAAATAAAAAATTTCTTTTATTAATTTTTAGTTTTTTAGTTTTTTAAATCTAATAAAAAACTATTATAAATAAAATAATTATTAAAAAAATTTCTAATTTAAAAAAAAATGTAAATGGTAAACGATCAAACTACCACAACAACTCTAGTGATAATATAACTTATCACCAACTGAACTTTTTTACTGTCAAAATCTGACATCTTTATAGTAATTGAATGACATTTCCTTCATGTAAGATTGGAAATTTTCAAATGTAAAAAGAACTTGAGACTTAACTTGTAAGAGGTGAATGTTATCTAATATTTTGGTCTCTAATTCCATTTTTGCTTTATTTGCAACTAGGCATTAACCCTCCAAACATTTAATTACTTATATTAAATATTTCCTTGTTTTATTCAATTGAAAATTATATTTATCTATCTATATTAATTATTTGGTCTATAGAGAATACTTTAATTTCATTATGATAATATTAAGGTTTATCATAATGTAAGAGTAGATGTAAAAATAGGCTTAATTTGATGGATTCTCTAGAAATATCCTAGAAATAGATTAAGTTAGACAAAAAAGTTTATATCCTAAATTAAATCAAACTTATTTTGATTTGACATGTTTAGGCTAGACTAAGGACTTATGGATCAACCAATTTTATAGAATAATAACTATTTTAGAATAAAAATAATATTATTTTATTCAAAATATATATGTATTATAATTAATTTGACAAAGGATTCACCTGTCACTTAACGATGAAGATTAGTTACTATTATAAATTAATAAATTACTAAAAAATAAATAATGATAATAAGGAGTAAGTTTTTAATTTTTATTTTAAGATTGAATAAACATATTATCTTATATTTATATATTAAATTATTATATCTTAAATAAAAATTAATTTCACTAATAAAATTAAAATTTTAAAAAATATAAATTTTATTTAAATATATTTTTAATTAATTGATTTTGTATTAGATATGTTAATATATTTTTAAATTTTAATCAGGTCAAAAGTGGCTCATTAGTCCGTTAGCCTAATATAGGACTAAACTAAGCTTTTTGGTCTATTTTAAAATATAAATCAGATGGGACCATCAAATATTTTTACTTAGTCCGTATGGTCAGGCCAGGCTAGGTTGAATCACCCATTTTGACAGCTCTATGATTAAGATATTGTTCATTTTGAGATTCTAGTTCGTCACAGTTTTATTCTTAAAATATGTCCATAGGTTGAAAGATAATGATGTATATAAACTATTCTCAATCTCAATTCCTACGTAATATGAGACTTATAAAGGTACTAGAACATAATTCTTAGTTGAAGATTATTAGGTAAGAGTGAAACTTCAAGTCTTATGTAATATGAGACTCATAAACATACCAGACCATATCCTCCAAGTTGAGGACTGAGGGATAGGAGTGAAACGATATTTTGTTATTAGTCTGATAATGAACGTCAATATTTTGTTTAGAATTGAGAGTATCTCATCTCATGCACGACAATTTTATTAAAGTTTATTATTATATATGAGATGTTGTTCGTTTTTAAATTATAGTCTCTTACGATTTTGTCTTTAAAAAATATATGAATGAGTTAAAGAAATAAGATATTTATAAACTACTCTTAATCTTTATTTATAAGGGATGTGAGACTTATGAGTATATATTGGAATATAATTTTTCAATGAAGGATTAAGAAATAGGTATGTACTTGATACTATATTTAATATTTTGTTTAGCAATAAAAATTTATTAGTGTCATATAGGATATGAAAACATATTAGAATTCGTTACCACATGTAAAATATTATCTATTTTTAAATTTTAATCAATTAGAGTTTTATTTTTTTAAAACATCCATAGATTAAAAAAAAAAAGTTTATATTTTATCTTAGTCTCAATTGCTAAATTCTTAAATATAATTCAAAATTTCTTCAAATTTACCACCATATTCAAAACTATTTAGTAAAAACGTAAGATCAATAAATATAAAGATGGAGCTCACTTTAACTTCTTATTTAATAATTGTTCTCACTCTATAACGTCTACCAAGGTTCAATTTTTTTTCCAACCACATATTGTTTAAAATTCTTAACATTTCTTATGTTAGAATAAAATTAAGTTAGAATTGTTTGATAATAACATGACAATGAAGTCTATATTTTATAATAAAATCTAAATAATTATATAATTATTATTTAAGTTAGAGTTTATGTCAAAATTATTATTTAATTTAGTTAAATTCATATTAATAAATATTATTATTATTATATTATAATCAAATTTGAATAAAAAAATTTGTTTGAAATTCTTAATTTTTTTTTTATGTTAGAATAAAATTAAGTTAGAGTTGTTTGATAATAACATGAGAGTGAATTCTTTAGTTTATATTTTTTTAATGCAGGAAACAAGATTAAATTATATTTTTAATTAAAAGAGTAATCGGAGTTATAAACAAGAGAACAACATCCCTTTTGCCAATGTTATGTAGTATGTAGGGGTTCAAAACGACGTCGCCATCTTTTCATGCCCGAGTGTAAAACGCGGTTTGATTTGGCACGGCGTCGTTTTAGTACGCATCGCTGAAAGGGGTTAGCATTTGGAAACTCTAAGGCTGTAATAGTGAGAGAGGAAATTGGGGAAAATGGGGTATGTGATGAGAGTGAGATTGGCGTCGTTCTGCATCGGGGCTGCAACGGCGTCGTGTGCGGGTCTCTACATCCTCCACAAGGATTACAAGTTTGCGTACCAATCTTTTTCCCAACAGGTGCACGCAAATCCTCATCAATTTTCCTTTTTTTGTTTAATTATTATTAAGTTGGTATTTTGGATTTTTGTTCGGTTAATTTATGTTTTGTTAAGTATTTTTGTTCCCTTAATCAAGTAATTTCCGTGAGCCGTTATTCGAAAGCGCTCGTAGGTGGTAATTAGATTACCATTTTGGAATTTGGTTAGTAAGAAGGATACAACTGATATGATACGATGTTGAATTGATGATGATTGTTGACGATGATTATTGTTGAGATAAATAGATTAGAAACGTCAACAATGCATGTAAGAATTTTGCAATTGGTTGGGGCTTCACCAAGGTTGTAGCAATGCTGTGTTGTGGCTGGTTTTGTTAAAGCTATTCTACTTATTCAGAGCTACAAAATGGAGGGAATTTCCCCATTCTGTTTATTATTTATATTTCTGTGTTTTATTATTTCCGTATCCTGCTTTTGAATGTATTGAATTGAAAGGAGAGTAGAAATTTTTTTGGAAATGAGAGATTTTGGTTGACCTCCTCTTTATTTTTCCTCTCCCTTCCCAACTTTTGAACTATTCAAGGATAAAAATCCCCACCCTCCTCTTTTAATTTGGGTTTTAGTCTTTTAGGCTTCATCTAGGATAATCTTCTGTTCAATTTCATTTTTAACAGTACATTTATCGTGTGATCCGAGCAGGGGTGGATCTCTTGATTCGTATTTGGATAATTGAAAGGCAGTCATGGTATGCTGCTAATATTTACTTGTGCATAATGAACAATAGAATAGATAGATTGCCTCATGTAATAACTCAAGACTTGTCAACAGCAGCTATGTTGGAAATATTTAATACGATTATTATTTGTTCCCTGGATACTACAGTGTACACATACTTGTAATATCTACATGTATTTTATTTATTTTGCACTTGCTTTTAGTTAGTTTGTTGGGTAAAATATGTTTTTATACAATAATTATGATACATACTTGTGTTTGATATAATTAAAATGTTTTGTTTAGTTTTCATATATTATTAATTAATCTATTAAGTTTTTAATCATCACCGATAGAGAAACGGTTAGTTTTATGCTCTATATGGATCATTAAGTAATATGTATGTTTATATGTGTGAATTTAAGTATCATCCAGTATTGTATATCTGGAAACAATTTATTCATATATTGTCCAAAATTCATCAAGAAAAACTCCGTGAACTTGATGATTCTAAGCGTACACATATGTGATTAATCATAATCTTCCATGAAATTGCATTTTACTGTAATTAAAAACCCACATATCAGTGCCTATATCATTTAATGGTTTACGTGACATAAAACTAATTATTTCTTTGATAATGATGATTAAAAACTTAGCAAAATAATTGGTATTGTATGAAAATAGGACAAAATATTATAATTGTATTAAATACAAAAATTTGTGATAACTATGTTATGAAAAACTTATTTTACCCTAGTTTGTTTAATGCAAAGATTGGTCTTCTTATTGACAAGTTTGTTATGTGTATTTTGTTCCCAACATAGGTCTAGCCTTTTTAAAATATTATTAGGGTCTCTTGAGATTCTCTCTGTCTTAAATTCCTAAACCTGTGAATAAATATTTCTCCTTGTTTCGTTCTCTGCAAGGCCTCCTCAACTTCTTTAGTGCATTTCCATTAAGTGCTTTCCTGTCTTATCTTCTTGGATGTATGCAAACTGGTTTATCAATAATCACTTTGTTTTGTTTGTTGATACTTAGAATGGGCAAAATTTTCTTTTGTGGTGCTTGAAAGGGGCTTTCAAATTAAATAGAGGATGAATCTAATTGTTATATTCTTGGTTTATTTCTTGCAAGTGTTAAATGTAATGCTTCGGTTGTTGTATTCAATATAGCATTTTGAAGGCATGTGGAAGTGTTGCTTGAATGAGGAGTGCCAATGGGAGCTGCAAAACTAGCATCATAATTTGTTGTTTGTTGTCCAAATGAATGTCTCTTGTCTATTGGTTGAAATTTTTGGTTCATTGTCAATGTTTAGCTGCCAATGTTTTTGAAAATTTCTCTATTTGAATCTTAAATCCAAATTAGGTCTACTCCTTGAATTGAGTTATATTGTTCCATGCTATTTGGAGATAAGACCTATTTGGATTAATTTTTCCGTAAGTATTTCTAAGAAAACAAAGATAGGAAGGAAAAACTTGTTCATTTTTTTTTTCTTTTTTTTTTGACTCAGACTTTTTAACTTATACATAATATTAGTTTATGCAGAGACTTATTTTACTCTTTTTTATTATGTTAGAGACGTTTATAGGGAAGTATATAGATATGTGTCACATTTGTAGTGATCCCTTGCATATTGGCAATTATCTCTTCCTTTTCTTGCGTGGAAAGCAATGAGTGAGTTTTATTTTCAAATTGGCATTGTCATTTTTACAACTCGTGTGCTGCTGCTCCACTTAGTGATCGAACTTTCCTTGCTTTTCCAGATGAATGATCTCCACAAATCACTAGAAAGTCGAATTTCATCCTTGGAAAAACTGAGGCAAACGGAAACTTCAGAACAGGTTGCAGCAGCAGAACAGAGTTCAGACTGAGAATCCATTGTGGAAAAAATTTGGTTCGTTGTACTAAATATGAAAAGTGACTTTTGGTTTGCTTTCCTCAAGAATAATTTCAAGTTGACTCATTTTGTGGCACCTCATCCGACTGAACTTTTCGTCTAAAGAGTACGGATATGTTGTGTCACCAAATGTTTGGATTATTTTTCAGCCAAGAGCATTTAGCTTTCACCGCGTTGTAGGTGGTAATTGATTAATATTTGGGTGATGTTTCTTTTCCGTTTTCAAATATGAAAATTGTGTTTTCTTTCTTGCTTCTAATTTACGTCATATAAGCTTGAAAATAAAATTATGTTCTACACAAGAATATTCAGTGTAATAATTACCACCATTCTAATACCCATGTTTCTAACGCCATATTTTGATGGTCCTTGAATTAATGAAATTAAAGAAGTGAAGGAGAAGAAGCATAGGCAACTTCAACATATTAGACAATGGTGGATTCAAATGGATGAAACCCTAAAAATAGTAAGGCTGATAGTTATTGCACTTCCATATGTTCATCATGTATCTTTATGTTTTAGAAGTATTTTCGAATGATTTTTTTGAAATGTTTCAGAATAAAATTTTGAAAAATATTTTAAAATAATATATTTAGAAAATTTTCAGAAAACGTTGAGAATCAATCTTTTGAAAACATTATGGATTAACTTTTTTAGAATAATAAATTTATGTTTTGAATTTTGTAATCTAAAATTTAAATTATACATGTAAAAAATTATTTTTAGATTTAATTTTTTGAAGGGATTAATATTTCTTGAATTGTAACATTATGCTTTAGATTTTGTAATCTGAAATTTTGAGAAAAGGTATACCTCTATCAATGGCGGGAGAAATATTGTCTTTTATAAGAAATATGGGATGGAGGATGGTGGTGAAGAATGAGTCAAATAGTAAAATACTTCACCTTATCAGACAACCCACTTAACTTGGGTCCCCACTCGCACAGTCACTACCGACACAAATTGTTCCAGCAGCTCATTAGGGCCTCCTCCTCCCTTACAACAATTAGCAATATACATAGTCATGTTTTTAATAGGATACTTTATATAAAAGTTATGTATATATTTTTAAAATATATGTTGTAATAGAGACAAGAGAGAGAAAAGCAACAAGGCCTAATACTCATTAGGATGTTTAGAATGCACTAGACCTATTTGGGGTGAGTGAATGTCTCTTTGGCATATAAAAAATGTATTTGTCGGAAGAAACCAATGTTTTGAGCGGAATGTGCACTAACAAAACAATTACGGCTTAAAGCTACATGTCCACAACACAGGACACACCACCAAAGTCCAAATACAAGTTGGAATAAATTGAGTAGATGAAGCCAACCAAATAAGTCAAAGGAAATGGCCCATTTCAGCTCTCATGCTGAATTAAGTGCATCATATAAGTGGGGCCCAGACAATGTTTTGTCACAATTCATTGTCTTCTCCAACCCATTTCAAATGGGTCGTGGAGGGAAAATTGAAGTAAATGCTTACTCAGGGGCTGCTAAAGTACTACCATCACTGCTATTCGCAAATACCTTTTTTTTATATTTATATATATCTCTCTTTCTTCTTCGGTTTATTAATACATCACCTACAATTTAAATAAACTCTCAAATCAGTCTTCAATAACAGACCATTAGACCCAGCAAGCAATGACTTAAGTTTTTAAGCATGTACTTCAACTTCTATCATTAGCCATACTAACACGAGTTTTCATAATTTTATAGGCATTTTTAAGCGGTTAATATTAAAAGATTCTTATAAATGAGATAGTATCTAAACCTAACAATATAATTTTATTTTTTTAAATTCTCAATATATTAAATTATTAATTTTGTTTCATTTATTTAATTTTCTTATTTTTATTTAATTCTCTTTTATATTGGATCGCATTTCCTTTCAACAAAAAGTATGACTTTTTACATAAAGAATCACAATCTCATATTTATCACGTATTCTAATTATACTGAATACCGAATTAGTTATTAGACTAATCAATAACTATAATACTACTTCCGATTAAGAGTATTTTTAAAGAAGATAATATCGACAAATTCTTATAAATAAGAGATGATCAAACTTTATAAAAAAATATAATATAACATTCCATCTAAATTCTTAAAACATTTATATTATGAATTCTTCTCGTTTATAAATTACAAATTTTATACGATGATATAAAATTCTATATTATAACGTCCTAATTTTTTTATCAAATAAATTTTGCACAACAAAAAATAGTTTGAGTCAATTTTTACTTCACCCAATAGTGTATGAAAATTATGAATATTGTATACATGCTATACGTTAAAATTGATCTCATGATGTAAATATAATTAAGAGTCAAAAGAATCTGACTTTAGATGACACATAAATGTCAAATATAATAAAATACTTGAAAAGAACAACATGCTGTAAAGAAATTTAATTAGCTCTTGTATTCCAAGGTATAAAAGCCACATATTAGACAAACGCACATATTTTTTAGGGAATACAAACCCACGTGTTAGAATAATGAATGAGTACTTACAAAAAATAACATGAAGAGATTCGAGGTAACATAGCAAAATTTATCTATGGTAAAAGAAGATAATAGAACCAACAAAATACATAACTATTTGAAAGAAAAGACCATAGCCTATGTTAACCAATTCTTGATAACATCATCCTCTGAATTGAACACAATAATGTTCAATAATTAAAAGAGACAAAATTAAGAAAAAATATATATTTTTTTTTCATAAGGTTATAATATAAGATCTAAAATAGTTTCTACATATTAACTCGTGCTGTAATAGTTAATAAGATAAGGGTTGAGTTCCACGATGATGGGGTGGTTGTGGTCAGGGCTTAAGTTTGTAAGAATAGGCATGTCTTTGACATTGATTGATTTGCCTTTTTTTTAAAATCAAATTCACTTTGTTAAGATAATTTTATTCACAAATTCCAATATTTTACAATTATATATATATTTTGAATGAAAATAGGGATATAATGTTGAAGATATGTAGAAGGTAAAAGAAGAAAGAGAGAAAGAAAAAGGAAAGAAATGATTTGAACACTTTTTTACGTTATACACATTGGGAAGGCAAAGAATATTAATCCATTTTCCTAGGAAAAGAGAGTGTGGATGGGGCCATGTGGGTGTGGTCCTATGAGATAGAGAGAGAAAGAAAGAAGCATCCTCATCCATCATCATCGTCGTCATCATCCATTGCATGTTGAGAAGATAGAAATAGACACGGTCCCTCCCCTAGTGAAGGGAAAACCCAAATTCCAAATTATGAAAAAAGAAAAATTGAACTGGAAAAATCATTGCTTAGTCGGTGTTTCCTTGACGGTGGTAGCTTTGGAATCAACAATGGACAAAAAAGCAAACCAGATTTGAGATTAGATGAGATGTGATGAGATGAGATGAGATCATAACCCCACCACCACCACCACCACCACCACCACTCTATTCCCTACTCACTATTTCTCACTCCACAACACGTGTCCTTACTACTTTGAGATTATAAACAATGCTATAATTTTGCATTATTATAGTACTCTCTTCCATTTTGAACTGCCATTACAACATCATTACTTCTTGTTCTTGATAAACAAGGTAGGAGGAGGAGGATAAGAATTCCATTAAAGGGAAAGGTTGTTTGCGATTAGGGCAATGTAAGATTTTGAATGTTAAAAATGTTGGATTGGGTTTGTGTGCACGTGAAGGATAATAGGGGTTAGGGATTTAGAAAAGTACTTGAATTGGGAATGGAAGGATGAAGGCAGTGTTTGGAAATGGGGAATGACAGGGAAGAAAAGTAAATTGTGATTTGGTTAAAATGGAGAGAGAAAGAAGGTTGTTGGTGTGTTGTTTGCCATGCAAATTGTTTGCAGTGAGTGATGTGGTGATGGAGACAGCGCGCTTGTAATTGTATTCTAACAGCTGTCTACCGCTTCACCTTCTTAAAGTACTTTTCAATAAAAAAAAATTAAAATTATTTTCCTTTATTTAATTACAGCAAATTTTTCAAAAATAATGCTAAATTCCTCAAATAAAATTTCCGAAGTGCAGGTTTTTTTTGGCATCGTTATTCTGATTCTTCACTGTGAGTGCAAAAGTCCCGAGTCATGTCACGTCCTTTTTTATTCCACCTAGCGAGCCATACTCATGTTTTTCAGTGTCTATGTTTTTGCTTGCTATCACTATTTAAGCTATTATTCTCAAACCAAGAATAATTTAACATTTCAATCAGATGCGTGTAATGTATGCTTCCTTTGACCCTTTTTAATTTTATTTGTGTGCGAATTTCCTTTTTAGCAAAGTATTTTAATTACCTCACAATAAATAATTACTGTCTCGCATTTCAAATATAAGAAGAAGATAATTTGTTCACCATAACTAAGGAGTTATAGTTAACATCATTTGATTACAATAAACTCAATTAAACAGTTTTCAACTAGTGAAAACACAAAAGATAGGGAATTTAATTGGGGGAAATTTTCCATGTTTGAGTAATGTGAAAGATTTGACAATGGTACGTAATTTTTCAGGAAACAAGCCATGTGAAGAGTGGTGAGAAGGAAAAGAACAAGTTTGGGGGGCGTCAGAGACGGATGGTTAGAGCGGGAGCGAACAAGAGAGGAGGGTCATGCGTGGGGCAACCTGTTTGATGAAATGCCACTGACAACATTCAAGATTTTAGTTTCGAAACCTGACGCTGATGATAATGGGTGAGGGAGGGAGGAGAATTTATTAGGCCCTTTGTATATTGTCCTTCACTTTTTATCAAGTATGGCCAAACAAGCCCTCAAGAAGCCGAAATGTTTTAACAAAATTTGGTGCCCCAAATTAGGACAAGTACTTTCCATTTTTAAAGATGAAGAAAAATAGGTCACTTGGCCTTCCTTCACTTTATCTCATACCTACTTGAATGGGGTCATCACAGTATTCAATTATGAGTATCATTATTAATATTATATTCTTTGACACATTGTAAAATTTTATTTGAAATCGAGTTTACACATGCTGACTCTAGCGCAACATTTTGCACAGGTACGGGGTCAGTGGCCGGAATGGCATTTGCAGTGGTGAGTGGAGGATTGTATTTGTTTTGGTTACAGGTGCATGATTGCATTTTGTTTCCTCTGTTATTGCTCTAAAAGATTAAACAAAACCAGAAACAACTTTCACCAGCATTAGCATTTTGAAACCAAATAGGTTCTTCTTTACATTAATAGTAATTCAATTATGTTCCACACACTGAGTAGGTTATTACTACTATCTAACGCTCTCATCCTGCTCAGTGTTTTGGAGTTATATTACAGTTGGAGTTTCGTTCTGATAACTTATATAATGTATACCATTATTAACATGTTATTTTATAATTAAAGAAACTTATTATATTTAAGTAGTTATGTCTAATAATTTTATCATTGAAATTGATTGAATAAAACAATGTTATTTTAACTCTTGATATTGCAATGGAGTCAATGTTTTGCCATGTCTTTTAAGTGTATGATTGAGAATTTGAATATGAAGTGTATGTGTGTCTGAAAAGCAAATCATTGAAGAGATTAATATTTTGAATTTATTTCAACACTTTGGATGTTGAGAAAATAATTGTGTTTACTACAGTGTTTTGGATGGTGACGCCTGAAAGTATTCAAAAGCATGAGTTCGATAAATATTTAGTTATATGATGAGATCTAAAATAGAAAAAATAACCTATTAAATAATAATATATTTTCTGATCTTTTTAAGTTAAAAAATCTTATATTTTTCCCATGAGTTGTGAGTTCATTTTTATTGCTATAATTTGAATAAAATATTAATTATTTTTAATATCTTGCATTTTTTTTAAAAGTAAGATTTTAATAAATAAGAAATTATTTTTTAAACTTTACACATATAAAATTATGGAAATTATGTCACATCTTAAAATAAAATTCAACATTACAAAAATAATATTATTAAAAATATTAATTACCTATTTTGACATAAAAGAATGATAAAAAAAATACAAAATTTTAAAATTAAATTTATATTAAAATATTTTTTTGAGTTTCTTTAGTCGAAATAAAATTAATTATACGTTATTTAATCACATTAATGAACACGTGTTACATTTTCAATAAACAACACAACAATTCTCATTAATCATATTCTTAGAAAAAAATCCTTATAAAAACATGACTTTAGAATAAAATAAATGGTCATGGAATCATAATAGGTTCAATATTTATGATTAATGTGACTTAACAATCTATAGGTGGGACATGTTCTTTCAGATAGATGGGGACACTTGATTTATATTTTACATGTTACCCAACATACAACATGAACTAAATATACTCACTCTCTTTTCTTTTAAAACATTAATTATATGTCTCTTTTGTGTCTTCACTGTTCACCTAATCATATTATATATATATATATATATATATATATATATATATATATATATAATATTTAATATGACATAGAAATAAATAAAGAATAAAATAGAAAATTTTATAAATATTTTATTAACATCATGAAAATTAATTATTGTTCTTAATACCTCAAAAAAAATCTTAAATTACACTTAAACGAAGTAGAGTATAAAAAATGATCTTAAATTGAGATACATACTAACTATTTATGTGAACATAAGATGATAGAATTTAAATGAATATTTAAAATTTAGTTTTGTTAAATTTCAAAGTTATAAACAAAAAGTTACCAATTTTATTACTATTTTTCATATAAATGCAATATTTTTAGTATCTAGAATCTTCTTATTTCTCTTTAATTTTTGTCTCTAGATTTTTCTAATTTTTTTCTTATTATTTCATCTTTCAATTAGGAACTATCCTGTAACAAGTCTACTTCAATTAAGGATAATTCGCATCTTCTTTTAAAATTTATTTTCTCATTTGACAAATAATATGATAAAATTCTGAATTATGTGTTGGTTTTATTGATAACCTCGTAAAATAAAAGATATCTTAGCGTCTTAAACTATTTTCTCGAAATGTTGAAAATTATTTTTTATTTAAGAAAATTCAAAACACTTATATTCAGCTTATAAAAACTTGTATATTCTCTATATATATTATTTAAATTGGACAAGATTATTCTGTAAAACAAAATTTTCTAATAAATATTTAACAGAGTTATATAATAATTTTATCCAAATATTATCATAACATAATTAAATGCAATTTCACTGACTAGGATAATATTTTATATCTTGAAATCAGTTATGCACACAGCATATTAATTTGTATCATTTTCCATTCATTGATAAACTTTTATACATTAATTTTACACAACCAATATAATTCTCTGTTATTTCATGGTAACTCATGTGGCTGTGCCACGTCACCGCCATGGTATAGGAAGTGTTTCAAAAACAAAATAATTAATTCGAAAGTCAAACATTAGACATAGACTTCACCTAGCTGCACCAAAATGTTTACTAGGGTAAAGGAGGGAGAATGACATTTGTAGCAAGAATCTTGGAGAATGCTCACCTAGCAACCTTGATTATAGACATGTATATTTTTTAATGAAAACGTTGATTATTGAATTCTTCTTACACATATTTAGAAATTGGAATGTAGTAGAACCGTGACTTTAGAATTTACTCGTGTCTTGCTCACTCTGGTGCAAGAGCTGTTAAGGGGAACGTGTCTAGCATACACGGGGAAAACAAAAGGTTGCAGCTTCCAAAAAAAAATCTTTGAATGTTTTCAATTTTTTATAGAGAGAAAAATGTTCACTTTTAATATCTTAGAAAATGAATATTGTTTAATAGATGTAGGAGAGTTTTTGTATGAATATGGATAGAAGAAAAGTTGGGACGTAAGCAGAGGGAAACGAGTGGTGTAGGAAAGTTTTGAAAACAACGAAAACGGTGGGCGTTGCAGGATAGGAAGGAGTGGGCAAAGTGTGGGTAGGTGTAGGTTGTGTTTGTTATCTTGTTCTGTGCTTGGTTGGGTGCTTCTTGGTTCCCAATAAACTCAATGTAAGATAAGAGTATCTTCAGCGGAGTCTAGCCATACATGCAGAAAGGGATAGATACCACAATAATGATGATAGATAAAAAAACTTCAGAACGGACAAGAAAGAGAGAGAAAGGGTGAAAAGAAAGAAACAAAAACGGGTCACTTTTTACTAATTTGTCTGCTAGCGTGTGGTGCGAATGTTGGAAGCATGGAAGCAAAGCAAAGGCCGAGAATGGCGGCAACCCATAACTCAATCATAAATCCCACATCAACCTCACTCTTTCTCCATTACAACACCTGGCACTAGAGGGATATCATTTTTCTTTTTAATTTTTATTGTTATTATTATCTTCACCGTATCATTTACTGTTAGATAGACAGATAGATACAACACAACACAAGACATCCTAATGCCACAAACAGCACTTTCCTCACTTGCCTGAAGAGTTTCTTTTCTTATTCTTTTTTTCATTCATGGCAAAGTGGTACCCTATTTTGAGCAAAACTGGGTGGTTTTAGTTTAATTTAACTTAACCATCGTATGAGTAATGGGTGAGTTTGGCGTTCCCCACACGGGAAAAAGAAGAAGCAACAACAACAACAGTGGTAGCAGCGTTGTTGGGTTGGATGTTAAAGTGCAGAGCCCTGAAGCATTATTCCATAATAAGATGACGATGATGGCGCATCATAATCATCACCACCGTCCATTGTCATCACCCTTTGATAATGATTCCTGTGCTGGTGATGGCGATGGTCCCACGGCTTACATGTCTTTTACTAATCATATAAACCTTGTTAGTGGTGCTTCTGTTCTCGCTCCTGCTATTGATGGTGGCTGTGGTGCTGCTCCTGCACCTGTAAGAACTTTGCAGCCTTTTGACATTTCTCCTTATACTTCTCCCACCACCACCTCTTCTACCTTCAACCCCTCAGGTTTGTGTTTTAATTACTTTGTCCCCCTCAGTGCTTTGTGCTCTAAGCTTAGGTTTCATTGCATCTTTCCCACTAATACATCCCAAAGATTGAATCTTTTTACTAGAATATAAAGAAAGTAAAAGTGGGTCAAAAGAGAGAGAGAGTGTGTGTGTGAGCTGGGTTTCTGTTCTGCCTAAGACTCTGAACATACTTGTGTTGTGTCTTGGTTGTGTGTTACAGCAGGTGGGATGGCGGCTTCGTTGGGGTTTCCTTTCACAAGTGCACAATGGAGGGAGCTTGAAAGACAAGCCATGATATACAAGTACATGATGGCTTCTGTTCCTGTTCCACCTGATCTCCTCATCCCTACTTCACTCACACCCTCTTCTCGCTCCCCCTGCAGTATGAATGACCCTTTGCTTTCTCGTGCCTCTTAATTTCTAATTTTCTAGTGTTCTCGTTCTCATAGTTCACGCACAAACACAAGACAACAACATGTTCCCATGCCTTTTCTGCCTTTTGAGTCCATTCCCATCAAAAGTTTGTGTCTTTGTTGTGTCTTTCTTTGCCTGCTCTCTCTCGACCACTGTTTGTATTTGTCTCAAAGACTTTACCTTTTCTTGTTCAAATCACTGTGGCCCTTTTCATGACACGGGGGCTCGCTTTCACTGTTTCCTGAACTTTGCATTCCCTTTTGTTTTAAATTTTATTTTTATTTTCACAGTGGATGGTGGTTTCAATCTGAGGTTGGCAAGTAGCACTGACCCGGAGCCAGGTAGGTGTAGAAGAACAGATGGTAAAAAATGGAGATGTTCAAGAGATGTGGCTCCTAACCACAAGTACTGCGAGCGCCATATGCACAGAGGCCGTCCCCGTTCAAGAAAGCCTGTGGAAGTTAACACCAACACCAACACCACCACTCCCACTAGCATCAACAACAATACCCACCAACTCAAGAGGCCTCGCCATGAGTGTAATCCTTTTCCTCCTACAGCAGATGTTACTGTGGCTATGTCAAACCCCACATCTAGGAAAGAAGGATCTTCACCCCATTTTCTTGGCTCTTCTACCACTCAGCCATTCCTTGAATCTTCCCTCTCTCTTGCTAACTTTGGTATCAAAGCTGCAAATTTTGGCTCCGTGGCTTCTGTTTCTGCCAATAAGGAGCCCAGGTGAGTTCTAAGTTTGGATTTGCTATGCCTTTTATTTTTGGTTTGGGTTCAGATTTCTCTTCTTACCCGGACGTGGTTTCCCTTCTCAGATCTTTTGTTTGTTTTGTCAAAACAAAAGAATAACAAAACAGAACTTAAAATTTTCCAAGGCCTTATACACATTTTGTTTTAATAAGTTTTTCATTAATTTCAGTTGATATTTTGAAGTATTGGTTTTGTTCTAAAAGTTGGTCATTTTGTGTCTACTTTATTTTATCCTTCATGACTGTAAAGTCGAAGAGGGAATGCTTTTCTATTTTTGCCTCTTGTTCTAACTTCACTACTCCGTTGCTGATCTGGTGAATCGACTGTAAAAGGGGTTTGGACTGGATGCTGAATGGAGATCCTATCTCCCTGGGTGCTTCTGACTCAGAATGGCATTCTCTGATGCATAACAAAGTTGGACTGAGCAGTGAGAGTTCCTGTAACACCAACCAGCCTCAGTATCTGAATTCATTTGCACTATACAACACTGGACTGGATCAACATAGTAGACGCCATCCTTTGTTCCTGAACCCTCTGGTTGTTCCCATGGAAAATCTCCAAACAGAGAAGCCAAGGGGTTTCATTGATGCTTGGTCCAACACAGAAACCGGTGATAACCATGCCAACACCAGTACCACCAACAAGAACTCTGCCTCATCAACTGGTAAATTGTCCCTTTCTTCTCTGGATCTATCAATGGGGGCTGGTGCTGTGAATGAAGATGTAGGTAATGTTAACATAGGGTTGGGTTTAATGGAGCCAAATGCAAACACACACACTGATACAAAAATCTCTCTCTCAAACTGGCTCAACCCAGCACCTTGGGTGGCTTCAACACTAGGGGGTCCTCTAGCTGAAGTTCTAAGGTCAAGCACAGTCACTGCCACCACCAATGAAGCAACCTCCAACACACCCTCACCAGCCACTACACACGTTGAATCGAACAGTCCACTGGGAACAATGGTGTCATCTCCAACTGGGGTGTTGCAGAAAACGCTTGTTTCATTGTCTGATAGCAGTAGCAATAGCAGCCCAACTGTTGTATCATCAAGGGCCAACTCTGAGATGCCCTTGCTCAGGTTTCAACCAATGTAAATTAATTATCATTTTCTGCTTCAGTGTTCAATTCAAATGGGGTAATATTATTATGTAATCTTGCATATTTAGCTAACTGTGCTGTCCATTCGGATAGCTATAGGTCCTGTGTCCTATTGCTGAGGACGGTTTGTTATATACCAAAAAACCTCTGGTGAACAACCTGTGTTTCTGTTTATGTGATGAGGACTCGTTGCAGCTTTAAATTCTTCCTTCACGGAAACGTCATGATGTTACTTATCGCTACCACCGAGTGTATGAATCAATGCCATGGGGTTGTTTCCTGTTGTGGGGTCCTTGGCTCCTGGCCCAAGTTGTCGGAAAAGGCATGGATCCAACTTTGACCATGTCAACCACGTACCTCTTCACTCTTCTCCAAAATATCAAGCACCAACATTTTTCTACTCATTTTATTTTTGGTCTTCCCTGTGCATCCACCGAATCTTATCTCTAACAAAGATATTCAAATTGTTAGACATGGAAAATGTTAAAAGTACCATAACGTCGAAGGTGGAAGAACATCATCTATCTTCTCGATGTTTCGTCAAAGTTTTTTGATATATTTCTTCATCATGTTAATGGTTAGCATCTCTGATATATATTAAATTACTTTTCTTAGTTGTTCAAAAATATTATATTCACATTTTTATCTTCAAAAACATTTCAACTAATAATATTAAGTTTAAGATAGGTTATAGCATGGCTGATCTTATAGATAAACTCATCTCGGATCTATACGGATACCAGTTTAAAAATGATGGTTACTAGTTTAAAAATTACTTGACATTATTCTTAATACTTATTTATCCAATTTTTATGTCATCCTTAAGTGTAAAAATTTCGTATTCCCTTACACGAAGGTGAGGTTCTATTAGAATTATCTAAAAAATTATGAATAGATTGTTATCATAAGTTTTCCTTAATTGAATTTGTGACCACAATAATTATGAGTCAAATTTGTGCTTACCTAATTTAGGTTTTAGGCAAGTTCTCAAGAATTTCACTCGGTTAGAATTAGGTTTAAATTTTAATTTTACATTTTTTCCAAGTGATTTTTTGTGTCATACATTTTATTAATTTTCTCAATATATATATGCTCAAACTACATACCAAAAGTGAGATTTTATTAGCTTCTCTGGGTGTTAGTTCTACCTTTCCCTACTTTTGTTTAGTACATGTATTATACTCATCTATTTGTAACATTCACATTTCTACCACATTATAATTATATGTAGGGTACGTTTGTATAGATTTTTCTATAAGTCATTGTAAAATAGAAAATAAGAAAAAAAAGTAACGTTTTTATAAATTAAATTTAGTTCACGGATAAGTTAAAACTAAGAATTTAAAGAATTTATATGAAATAGTTTTTACAAATTAAATAATGAATAAGTTAACTTTAAGTTATAGAAAAAATTGTCATTTTTTTTATAGTCCAAACATATTATAAATACAATGCAGTAGAGATGAGAATAATTAATCAGATGAATATAATAGGCATACTAGATGTAAAAATGAATGCATTAAATAGAAGGTTGAAGAACACCTAACGTAGATAAACTGATAAAATCTTACTTTTGGTAAGTAGTTTTGAAATAAAAAATCAATACAATTTAACAAATACTTATATATATATATATATATATATATATATATATATATATATATAACTCAACTTAATTTTGTTTTTTGAGCCACATATGTGACTAGCTATGGTTTACTATACTGATTGCATCTGGGTTTGAGGCCTACTTCAAGAAGTCAGCATAGAGTGCCTAATTGCTCGCAATTTTGATGAGGCTTCTCTAATGCTCCATCGTTCTTTGGGTTGATCAGCCGTGCAACACAACCCAACTATTATCACATCAGCTATGCATTCCTCAGCTTTAAGCGTCCAATATGTTTTGCTCTCAAAGCCACTTCCATGGTCATCAGTGTTTGAGCTTTGTGTTGAATATTCATGATCATCAATAAGCCTTCCATCAACAAACATTAGTACTTCATTCTCATCCATAGCAGAGACAAATTTGCTGAGGCTTAATCCTTCTTTGAACATTTTATCAGTTGGTCTTTTGCCTGTGAACATCTCAAGCATTAAGATCCCAAAACTGTACACATCGCCCTCGGTTGAGGCCTTGCCTCCAAAACCATATTCTGAAACATATCACCCTTGTACTGTTAGAGCCAGATATAAGTGCGTGTGTGAGAGTTATGCACAAATAGCAAGTAAAAGGAAACTACAAAACAAATAAACAAAAACCTCTAATAGAAAGCAAAGTGTTAATCTGTACCTGGGGCAATGTAGCCGATTGATCCTTCTAGTCCTAAAGTACTACTCCGCTTCTCTGATGCGTTTTGAGACAGAAACTTTGCCAATCCAAAATCTGCAACATGTGCAGTCATATTTTCATCCAGAAGGACATTGGCAGGTTTCAGATCACAATGAACTATTGGTGGATTGCAGTCATGGTGCAAGTAGTCCACAGCAGAAGCAACATCAATGGCAATGCTCAATCTTTGCATCAAGGTTAGAAAGGAGCCTGACTCTTCATCTTCCGGGTGTATGTTCACGTCCAAGTTGCCATTGGGCATGAATTGCATAACAAGGGCCTTAAATTCCTCTCCATTATAATCAAGGCTGGAGCAAGAAGTGATAACCTTCACTAGGTTCCGATGCCTAATATTTTTCAAAGCTTCACATTCCACATTGAAACTCTTTGACGCTTTGCTTTGTTGCAGGTCTAGGACTTTGACAGCAAGTGTGGCGGTTTCACCATTGCTGAAGTTGAACACACCCTTGTACACAGAGCCAAAACCTCCTTTTCCAATTAAGTTTTCAGCTGCAAAATTGTCTGTAGCTATCCGAATATCACCATATTTTATATTTTGAGGCAACCCCCTGAAGGGGGCAGATGACAAACTGGTTTTCCTCTCCTTTCTTTTCTTCTTCATCGTCCAAAAAAGAAAGACCATTGAAATGAACAACGCAATAGCACCAACAACTGCAAGTATGGTAGGGAGTACGATCTTTCTTTTATTTTTGCCAGCAACACACAAGAGTACTCCTAAATTTTGCGCATTTTCCTTGCTAAGGCTACAGAGTTGATTGTTGCCTCGAAGATCAAACTTTGTAAGGTTCGTAAAAAGACCTTCCATTGGAACCTCCCCTTCCAAATGGTTGAAAGACAAATTTAATTTCTGTATATACTCGAGCTTTTCTAAACTTTCAGGAATAGGACCAGTGAGACTGTTTGACGATAAATCCAAAGTCTCAAGGGATGCCAAATTCCCAATATTAGTTGGTATTGAACCATTGAATTTGTTTCTTGCCATCATAAGCCACTTCAAGCTAAAACAGTGTTCTATTTCCATAGGAATGTTCTCTGACAACTGATTGTCAGAAATATCCATGGTCTCAAGCTGTTTCATGGTGCCGACCTTAGGAGGAAGCGAACCTTGCAGAGAGTTTCCTGCTAAATACAAGGATGTTAAGCCAGAAAGCTGAAAAATCTCCTTTGGTATGGTCCCACCAAGCCTATTCATTCCCAAGTCAAGAATAGTTAATCTCTTGCATTGTCCAATACTTCGGTGAATTCTACCCGAGAACTGGTTATTTCCCATTCCAAGGGTATACAAATTTGTTAAATTGCCAAAAAAGTCCGGAATTTCCCCAGATAATCTGTTACTGTATATCACAAGTTTCTGTAGATCATGTAGTGCTCCTATTTATGATGGTAACTCTCCAGTGAAAGAATTGTTTTCAAAAGACAATGATATGAGATTTTGAAAGTTCTTCATTCCTTGGGGAATGGTACCAGTAAGGAAATTATTAGCTACACAAAATTGTTGGAGATTGCCAGACAGATTAGCAACAGAACTTGGGAGGTCCCCGGCCAAATGGTTATCATTGATCATGAGAATTTGTAACTGGGTAGAGTTTCTAAGGGAATAAAAAAACTGAAAATTTAAAGAGGTTGTGGAGGAGAGAAAATTGTTACCAAGAATGAGGTGGGTTAGGTTTTTCAAGTTGTTGAATGGAGGTATAGAGCCGTGGAATTTATTGTGTGCAAGGTCGATGTATTGAAGATGTGAGGCATTTGATATGGAATTCGGAATTATCCCTTCAAACCTATTGGATGCCAGATGTAGATTCTTTAAATTTGGAAGAAAATGGCCGAAATTTTGTGGTAACTTACCCTCTAGATTGTTTTTTGTGACGGATAAAAAGACTAAGGAAGAGATGTTGAAGATAGAAGTGGGAAACTGGCCGGAGAAATTATTCGCCGATATTTGAAGAAAGGAAAGATTGCGGAGATTACCAAGTTCGGACGGAATCTCACCCTCCAAACCGTTGGTTGCCAAGGAAAGATTCTCAAGAGAAGATAGATTGGCAAATGACGGAGGAATCTGACCTGTGAGATTATTGACTGAAAAGTCTAAAACTTGTAGACGGTGGAGATGACCCAGCTGTGGTGGAAGTGTACCACTGAGATTGTTGGAAGATAATTGAATGACATTGAGAAGTGAGAGATGGGCAAGGTCTTTGGGAATTTGGCCATGAAAACTGTTGTTGGAAAGGTCAAGTGAGTGTAGGTAAGTGAGGTTGGAAAGGTGAGGGGGCAGTTTGCCGGAGAGGGAAAGTCCTGGTAGAATGAGAGATTGGACCCTGTTTCCAAGTTTGGAGCATGTGACACCTTTCCAGGTGCAGTGATTGGAATGTAGAGACCAGGAAGAGAGGGAATTTGTTGGGTCACTAACTTGAGATTTGAATGAAAAAAGGGCATCTCTGTCTGTGTTAGTGTTGCATGAAATGGCATGAAAATGACGAAATAGGAAACAAGAGAGGAAAAGAAATGGAGCATTAATCATGATGAGCAAGAAGGCAGTGTTGGGTACTTGTATGCATGTCTATGTGCGTGCAAGTATTTATAACCGAAATCCATGTTCAGATGACACAAGTCAAGGGGCATTGCTTTGAAGCAGTCATGTCAGGGTAACACTACATTTTAACTCTTGGATGTAGAGTTTGGACGCCAAAGGAATAAGTGAGTGTTGTTACGGACAGGGTTGAGGTTGAAGTCAATGAGCATGCATACTATAACACGATTCCTGATTAAGATGTCTATCTAACTGGTGCAATGCAGGTTAATGGTAGTTGTTGCTGACCCAAAGCTTCAACGCGTTTCGATTGTGAAATTGAAGTTCTTGGAACATCTGCACTGCAAACATATTTTTGCTTCCTACCGCCGTTGACAGTATTTGAATTTCTAACTGTCACACTACCCACAATTTTCGATTTAGAGAAGGATGAATTAACAACAACAAAATTAAACTTTTGTACCAGAACTTATAATTTATAAATTTAATTATATATGATAAATTTGTGGATTTTTTTAACAATTATATTATCACTGGGTTTTTTTAATTAAGGTAAAAGTGTTTTAAACGCACTCATTACTACTACTCTTTAAATATAACTTCAAGATTAAATATTTTATTTTGACTTTATTGAATGATATTTATTTTCTAAAATATAAAAATTTAAAATACTCAACTTTTTAGTAAATGATTTTTCTTTTAAATTATTTTCATAAAAAATGATTGAAGACTATAATAAATAATTTTATTTTTTGTAAAATCAACGAATGACCAAAATTTTTTGAAAATTTAAAAACTAAAGTTATTGACATTAAGAATTTGTTTTGATGTTTGCAAACATCATTAGAATGCTTATTGCTAAGAGAAAATTGATCGAATACAATTTTAATTAAAAGGAACCCTATCGTATTGGGGAATTTGATGATGCAATCTTAGATGCTTTTTCTGGAGAAAGTTTGCTCTAATAAACTATTACAATATATAGAAATATTGTGGAAACTATGATTTAATTAACCACAACAATAAAAACGAAACATTTATTTTAAAGTATCAACAGCTAAAAATAATATTGCATAACAATATCCATTTGTTATCATAAATTTAAATATAAATTATGCGCTTAAAAATATATTTACTATGAATTTAATTGTAATATAATTTATATATGTAAAAATATTTAATTATGATAAAGTTTAGTTATACAAAAGAAATATTTATTATTTTTATTTTATAATCTAAAATACATGTTTATTTAAAATGTCATTTTTTCATATAAAACCTAAAATAACATTAAATTCTCGTAATAAAATTGTATAATATTTTTATGAAAAAGATTACTAAAAATATAATTTTCAAATGGCGTTTTTAATTTGTTTCATGAACTGGAAACTTACCCATTTCTAATAAATTATTCTGATATAGTATTAACTATTATTATTATTATTATTATTATTATTATTATTATTATTATAAATAAACACTACAACAGAATGTGGCTTTCGCTTTAGATATCGGTTAACAAAAATCGCTTTTAAAAGTATGTACTAGATAGTGGTTAGGAATAAAACGCTCTCTAAACTATGTTTTAATAGCGGTTCAGAAAGAACCGCTTTCTAAAATAATTTATAATAATGGTTGTGTGATAACCGCTATCTAGAGATGACAATTAAACTCGTATCCGTGGAGATTGACCCCTTCCTGCCTCGAGTTTGACGGAGAAAACCCGAGTTGACCGGAGGCGGGCGGGGATGAGTAATGCAATCCCCACCCCGACCCCGCCCCGTTCCAGTCTCCGTCCCGACTTTATATTTAAATTTAAATTTTAAAATATTAATATTTTAAAAGTATTTCATTTTCTTTTTCTATTACATATAAGGTTATTTTTTTATATTTCATTAATTTTTATTTTTCTTCTACCCACTTTTAAATTTTTTTATCCTTTTCAATCTTTTATATCAATTAATTTATTATATTATTCTCTCTCATCTTTCAGTTTTTCACATTTCCTTAATCTCTCCCATCAATTTGTTTTTTTTTTCAATCTTTTCAACCAATTTGATGAACACAAAGTTTTTTTGTTCTTTATCTTTTTTTAAATATTTTACATCAATCTTAGTAGTAACTAATATTAGTTTATTTATAATTTATATTTATTTTATCATATTTTTTTCTTATTATGCTTATTTATCATATATCACATTTTATCTTAATAAAATAATTGCATTTTAAAGGATTAAAAGAAATTAATAATTTAAACTTTTATTACTTCAAACTAATTAAATAAGAATTAACTTATTAAATATTTTCTTATAAACTATATATTGAAAACTTAAAAATGAATTAACTTATATATATATAATTAAATATTTGAATACATTATTATAATAATAATGTTATAAATATTCAAATATTTGAATACAGTGTTATAATAATAATAATAATAATAATAATAATGTTATATATATTAGATATATATATATATATATATATAAAATAATTAAATATTTCTTTTACATATATATTTTAATATAAATATAATAAATTAAAATGTATATTTAATTAATAATAATTGTAAATTATAAATATTTATTTATATATAAAAATACATAGTAAAATTAATTTATTATAAATGTAATTATCTTTTTAAAAATAATATAGATCAAGGACGGGGCGGAGGCGGGAACCCAAAACCCAGCGGGGACGGGGATGAGGACTTAATTTCTAACTCCAGCGGAGATCAAGGACGGGGACGGGGATTGTTAAAAAAGTCGGGGGCAGGGAGGCAAAACCTGCCCCCACCCCGCCCCGTTGCCAGGCCTACCGCTATCTAATGTCATACCTTTGAAGAGCGGTTTCGCTATCATAACTTTAGATAGTGGTTACTTCGTGGAACCGCTATAATAAGAGTAGTTTAGATAGTGGTTATTTGGCGAACCGCTATCTAAAGTCAAATTTTTAAAAACCCTAATCCCTTTTTTTTCAATCTCGCGCTTTCTATTTCTGCATTTTTTGCCGCTCTCCTTCTCGCTCTCTGATCTTCCATTAAACTACAGGTACATTCTCTCCTTCTCACTCACTTTGTGCTCTCCCACTTGCTCTGGGTTCTTTCCATTTTCCTCTGTGTCTTCAATCTCTCTCATTCTCTTGCTCTCACTACTCAGTTGGGTATTACAACTCCATTTAAGCATATTTGTATCGCGTTCCAGTCTCCATTCGTCATTGTTGTTGTAGGACGCGCTTATTGGGAGGTCTACAATATATTAGTGCATTATATATTTTTTAGGCTATTATTTGATTTATTATAGTATAATTATTTGAATTAATATGATATTGGATACAATTTGCACCCCTATTTTGATTCCGATACGATTAGTTAAATTTTAGGGTGAGTGTGAATTTAAAATTAGTATTTGGATTGATTAATATCTTAATTTGGTCTGAATTGTTTATTTTTGCCTACATTGTGATCCTGAAATTGTGTTTTGAAATAGAATATAGGTTGGTTAGGATATATACATGGTTTAGTATGACCCTGAAATATTTTGTATTAGAGATTATGTATGATGTTTTTGGAGATAGTTTTAGTAATTTTAGATACTTGTTAAATGATATTATTATATATGAACTTTAGTGAATCTTTAGTTTCTCATTTGAGTCTCTAAATAATGATTTAGGATCATTATTTTGAAACTCAAATTGTCCCAATTTGGATAGTTTGTAAAAAAGTTTTCCTTGACCAATAATTATCTAGGTAGTTGATTAAACTGTTATTTGTTATAGTTGGTGCATGGTTGAATGAGGTTACTTTTACCAAATTCAAGTTGTGGACTAAGAGACTGATGCAAAATGTTGTCGAAATTTTATTAAGTATACAGTGTAATGAACTTAGATGACTGTGGATATTACATAGCTTTGTTCATTGGAGAAGCACTGCAGCACGAACAAACTACACTATTCCAGTTAACGTAAGAACCATTTTTGCATTATGGCTATGTGTTATATGAAAGAATAATGTATTGTTATTATTTATCTAATTTGGAATTTAACTTTTGTGATTCTTTTCTATCTATGTTTGCAGTATTTTCCAGAGTCTCGCTTTGCTATTTTTCTGGACCTTAGAATTGAGTAGCTACAAAAGGAATGTTGTGCATATTTCTATCATACATTTTTTAATGACAGAATCAATAGCATAGACTCTTAATGATTTTTTTTAATCATTTCAATTATTTGATGTATATATTCCAATTTTGTTTCATGCAAATTTTAGTTTTAATTTGTCAAATTTTGAATTGTTTTTCTATGATTCTATGAATATATATTGTATGCTGGCTGGATTTTGTTGGATTAATTTGATATATATCCTGAAATTGTAGTCTATGAGGTATAAATTATTAGGAATAAATTTTGGATTTTAAAATTTAAATAATTTCTTTTTTAAATTGGGACTTTAGATAGCGGTTCCTAGAACCGCTATCTAAACATACTAAAAGAGAGCGGTTCTAGAACTAACCGCTATTAAAAGTATATTTTAGATAGCGGTTGTCGTTTTAACTGCTATTATATGTGTATTTTTAAGAACGATTCATCATTCCAACCGTTATTATAGATACAATTTTGCATAGCGGTTTCACGTTAACCGCTATTATATCTTATTTATGATAGCAGTTAGTTAACCGTTATCTAAACGTCATTCTTTTATTAACATCTCATTTAATAGCGTTTTTAACCGCCATTATAAAGCATGCGGAATCGTTATTACATGTCTTTTCTGTTATAGTGAAAATTTATAATTTAAGATTTAAGGTTTATCTTGTATTAATTTTATTGTACTGTGTATACTTTTTTTAATTTAAAAATAATATTTAATATCTTTGTTTATAAAATAATTTTTTGAAAACAAAAATCATACTTTTTGTTATTTAATATGATAAATTTAAAAATTTTGTCCCTCAAGGGTTTCTACTTAGATTTAATATATTTTATCATTACAA